ACTCAACGTTGGCCATCTCAACGTTGCCACTCTCACTCATTGCCACTCAACGTCTGCCATCACTTTGCCACTCAACTTTGCCACTCAACTCTGCCACTCAACTTTGCCACTCAACGTTGCCACTCAACTTTGTCACTCACTTTGTCACTCAACTTTGCCACTCAACTTTGCCACTCAACGTTGCCACTCAACTTTGCCACTCAACTTTGCCACTCACGTTGCCACTCAATTTTGCCACTACAACGTTGCCACTCAACTTTGTCACTCAACGTTGCCACTCAACGTGCCACTCAAACTTTGCCACTCAACTTTCCACTCAACTTGCCACTCAACGTTGCCACTCAACGTTGCCACTCACGTTGCCACTCTCAACTCTGCCACTCAACTTTGCCACTCAACGTTGCCACTCAACGTTCCACTCAACTCTGCCACCAACTCTGGGCCACTCAACTTTGCCACTCAACGTTGCCACTCAACTCTGCCACTCAAAACTCTGCCACTCAACTCTGCCACTCACGTTGCCACTCAACGTTGCCACTCAACTCTGCCACTCAACTTTGCCACTCAACGTTGCCACTCAACGTTGCCACTCAACTCTGCCACTCAACTCTGCCACTCAACTTTGCCACTCAACGTTGCCACTCAACTCTGCCACTCAACTCTGCCACTCAACTCTGCCACTCAACGTTGCCACTCAACTCTGCCACTCAACTTTGCCACTCAACGTTGCCACTCAACTTTGCCACTCAACGTTGCCACTCAACTCTGCCACTCAACTTTGCCACTCAACTCTGCCACTCAACTTTGCCACTCAACTTTGCCGCTCAACGTTGCCACTCAACTCTGCCACTCAACTTTGCCACTCAACGTTGCCACTCAACTCTGCCACTCAACTTTGCCACTCAACTCTGCCACTCAACTTTGCCACTCAACGTTGCCACTCAACTTTGCCACTCAACTTTGTCACTCAACTTTGTCACTCAACTCTGCCACTCAACGTTGCCACTCAACTCTGCCACTCAACTTTGCCACTCAACTCTGCCACTCAACGTTGCCACTCAACTCTGCCACTCAACTCTGCCACTCAACGTTGCCACTCAACTTTGCCACTCAACTCTGCCACTCAACTCTGCCACTCAACGTTGCCACTCAACTTTGCCACTCAACTTTGCCACTCAACTCTGCCACTCAACTTTGCCACTCAACTTTGCCACTCAACTCTGCCACTCAACTTTGCCACTCAACTCTGCCACTCAACTCTGCCACTCAACGTTGCCACTCAACTCTGCCACTCAACGTTGCCACTCAACTTTGCCACTCAACGTTGCCACTCAACGTTGCCACTCAACTCTGCCACTCAACTTTGTCACTCAACTTTGCCACTCAACTCTGCCACTCAACTTTGCCACTCAACGTTGCCACTCAACGTTGCCACTCAACTTTGTCACTCAACTTTGCCACTCAACTTTGCCACTCAACGTTGCCACTCAACGTTGCCACTCAACGTTGCCACTCAACTTTGCCACTCAACTTTGCCACTCAACGTTGCCACTCAACGTTGCCACTCAACTCTGCCACTCAACGTTGCCACTCAACTCTGCCACTCAACTCTGCCACTCAACTCTGCCACTCAACTCTGCCACTCAACGTTGCCACTCAACTCTGCCACTCAACTTTGCCACTCAACTTTGCCACTCAACGTTGCCACTCAACTCTGCCACTCAACTCTGCCACTCAACGTTGCCACTCAACTTTGTCACTCAACTCTGCCACTCAACTCTGCCACTCAACTCTGCCACTCAACTCTGCCACTCAACGTTGCCACTCAACGTTGCCACTCAACTTTGCCACTCAACTTTGCCACTCAACGTTGCCACTCAACTCTGCCACTCAACTCTGCCACTCAACGTTGCCACTCAACTTTGCCACTCAACTCTGCCACTCAACTTTGCCACTCAACTTTGCCACTCAACTTTGCCACTCAACGTTGCCACTCAACTTTGCCACTCAACTTTGTCACTCAACGTTGCCACTCAACGTTGCCACTCAACTTTGCCACTCAACTTTGCCACTCAACGTTGCCACTCAACGTTGCCACTCAACTTTGCCACTCAACTTTGCCACTCAACTTTGCCACTCAACGTTGCCACTCAACGTTGCCACTCAACGTTGCCACTCAACGTTGCCACTCAACGTTGCCACTCAACTCTGCCACTCAACTTTGCCACTCAACGTTGCCACTCAACGTTGCCACTCAACGTTGCCACTCAACGTTGCCACTCAACGTTGCCACTCAACTCTGCCACTCAACTTTGCCACTCAACTTTGCCACTCAACTCTGCCACTCAACGTTGCCACTCAACGTTGCCACTCAACTTTGCCACTCAACGTTGCCACTCAACGTTGCCACTCAACTCTGCCACTCAACTCTGCCACTCAACTCTGCCACTCAACTCTGCCACTCAACTCTGCCACTCAACTCTGCCACTCAACTTTGCCACTCAACTCTGCCACTCAACTTTGCCACTCAACTCTGCCACTCAACTTTGCCACTCAACGTTGCCACTCAACTCTGCCACTCAACGTTGCCACTCAACGTTGCCACTCAACTCTGCCACTCAACTTTGCCGCTCAACTTTGCCGCTCAACTTTGCCACTCAACTCTGCCACTCAACGTTGCCACTCAACTCTGCCACTCAACGTTGCCACTCAACTCTGCCACTCAACTTTGCCACTCAACGTTGCCACTCAACTTTGCCACTCAACGTTGCCACTCAACGTTGCCACTCAACTTTGCCACTCAACGTTGCCACTCAACGTTGCCACTCAACTTTGTCACTCAACTTTGTCACTCAACTCTGCCACTCAACTCTGCCACTCAACTTTGCCACTCAACTCTGCCACTCAACTCTGCCACTCAACTCTGCCACTCAACGTTGCCACTCAACTTTGCCACTCAACTTTGCCACTCAACTCTGCCACTCAACGTTGCCACTCAACTTTGCCACTCAACTTTGCCACTCAACTCTGCCACTCAACTCTGCCACTCAACTTTGCCACTCAACTCTGCCACTCAACGTTGCCACTCAACTTTGCCACTCAACTTTGCCACTCAACTTTGCCACTCAACTTTGCCACTCAACTCTGCCACTCAACTTTGCCACTCAACTCTGCCACTCAACGTTGCCACTCAACTCTGCCACTCAACTTTGCCACTCAACTCTGCCACTCAACTCTGCCACTCAACGTTGCCACTCAACTCTGCCACTCAACTTTGCCACTCAACTCTGCCACTCAACTTTGTCACTCAACTTTGCCACTCAACTTTGCCACTCAACGTTGCCACTCAACGTTGCCACTCAACTCTGCCACTCAACTTTGCCACTCAACTCTGCCACTCAACTTTGTCACTCAACTTTGCCACTCAACTTTGCCACTCAACGTTGCCACTCAACTTTGCCACTCAACGTTGCCACTCAACTTTGCCACTCAACGTTGCCACTCAACTCTGCCACTCAACTTTGTCACTCAACTTTGCCACTCAACGTTGCCACTCAACTTTGCCACTCAACGTTGCCACTCAACTCTGCCACTCAACTTTGTCACTCAACTTTGCCACTCAACTTTGTCACTCAACTTTGCCACTCAACGTTGCCACTCAACGTTGCCACTCAACTCTGCCACTCAACTTTGTCACTCAACTTTGCCACTCAACTTTGCCACTCAACTTTGCCACTCAACTCTGCCACTCAACTTTGCCACTCAACGTTGCCACTCAACTTTGCCACTCAACTCTGCCACTCAACTTTGTCACTCAACTTTGCCACTCAACGTTGCCACTCAACTCTGCCACTCAACTTTGCCACTCAACTCTGCCACTCAACTTTGCCACTCAACGTTGCCACTCAACGTTGCCACTCAACGTTGCCACTCAACGTTGCCACTCAACGTTGCCACTCAACTTTGTCACTCAACTTTGTCACTCAACTCTGCCACTCAACGTTGCCACTCAACTCTGCCACTCAACTCTGCCACTCAACTCTGCCACTCAACTCTGCCACTCAACGTTGCCACTCAACTCTGCCACTCAACTTTGCCTCTCAACTTTGTCACTCAACGTTGCCACTCAACTTTGCCTCTCAACTTTGCCACTCAACGCTGCCACTCAACTCTGCCACTCAACTTTGCCACTCAACGTTGCCACTCAACTTTGTCACTCAACTTTGCCACTCAACTCTGCCACTCAACGTTGCCACTCAACGTTGCCACTCAACTCTGCCACTCAACTTTGCCACTCAACTTTGCCACTCAACTTTGCCTCTCAACTTTGCCACTCAACTTTGCCACTCAACTTTGCCACTCAACTTTGCCTCTCAACTTTGCCACTCAACTTTGCCTCTCAACGTTGCCACTCAACGTTGCCACTCAACTTTGCCTCTCAACTTTGCCACTCAACTTTGCCACTCAACTTTGCCACTCAACTTTGCCACTCAACGTTGCCACTCAACTTTGCCACTCAACTCTGCCACTCAACGTTGCCACTCAACTTTGCCACTCAACTTTGCCACTCAACTCTGCCACTCAACTCTGCCACTCAACTTTGCCACTCAACTTTGCCACTCAACTTTGCCACTCAACTTTGCCACTCAACTTTGTCACTCAACTTTGCCACTCAACTTTGTCACTCAACTTTGCCACTCAACTTTGCCTCTCAACTTTGCCACTCAACTTTGCCACTCAACGTTGCCACTCAACTTTGCCACTCAACTTTGTCACTCAACTTTGCCACTCAACTTTGCCTCTCAACTTTGCCACTCAACGTTGCCACTCAACTTTGCCCTCTCCTCTCTTGGCTACGGTAGGACGTCGTCTGCCACGGAGGCGTTTGTGGGTTCGGCAAAACCGCGAGGGGCTAGCGGAGGCACCTTGTCCTTGGCACGAGACCCCGACGGCTGCGTAGCCGCGCCGGTGGTGGCGGTGGTGGCGGTAGTGGCGGCGGTGGTGGTGGTTGAGGTGCCTGTCGGCGATGCCGCGGGTGGCGGTTGGGACGTCGCCGACGCCGGAGAGTTTGCCGGAGAATGACGCTGCTGCTGCTGCTGCTGCCGCTGCCGCTGCTGCTGCTGCTGCCGCTGCTGCTACGGTCACACGCAGAAGTGGGGGAGGAGGGTCGTCACGTGGGGGTCGTGACGTGGGGGTCGTGGGGGTCGTGACGTGGGGGTCGTGACGTGGGGGTCGTGACGCGGGTTGTGCCCCCTTCCCTCCTGCCCTCCCTCTCACCGTCAGCGGGGAAGAGAGCGGCGTGGCCGGAGCCGCCGTCCCCGGCGACGCGACGGCGGCAGGAGCGGCGAGCGCCACCGGCACCGGCGTGGCGGGCGAGGCCGGCGCCGGCTCCGTGCCGGACGCACGCCGGTTACCCGCCGACGGCGGCTGCTGCTGCTGCTGCTGCTGGTGCTGCTGCTGGTGGTGGTGGGCGGTGTCGCGGCCGCCGCCCGTGCCGTCTGTAACGGAAAGAGGCGGTCGCCCATCGCCCGCTCAGCTATGAGGTGTTGACTACCTCGCCTGGTACGCAGGAGGTTGTGGGTTCAATGCTGACCATGATACTTGCTGCTGTATGTTCGGATTGTGCGTCTCTGTCTCTCCCCATCCTACGGAGTGAGTGGAGTTTGTAAGATCTCCCGCTGTCCTACAGAGTTTGTATGATCTCCCCCTGTCCTACAGAGTGAGTAGAGTTTGTATGATCTCCCCCTGTCCTACAGAGTTTGTATGATCTCCCCCCGTCCTACAGAGTTTGTATGATCTCCCCCTGTCCTACAGAGTTTATAAGATCTCCCCCTGTCCTACAGAGTTTGTATGATCCCCCCCCGTCCTACAGAGTTTGTATGATCTCCCCCTGTCCTACAGAGTTTGTATGATCTCCCCCTGTCCTACAGAGTTTGTATGATCTCCCCCTGTCCTACAGAGTTTGTATGATCTCCCCCTGTCCTACAGAGTTTGTATGATCTCCCCCTGTCCTACAGAGTTTGTATGATCTCCCCCTGTCCTACAGAGTTTGTATGATCTCCCCCTGTCCTACAGAGTTTGTATGATCTCCCCCTGTCCTACAGAGTTTGTATGATCTCCCCCTGTCCTACAGAGTTTGTATGATCTCCCCCTGCCCTACAGAGTTTGTATGATCTCCCCCTGCCCTACAGAGTCTGTATGACGGCGCCACCTACTTAGCGACGGTGCTGCAGCGTGGTGATTTGCCTCCTCGGCCGCCGAGATCTGCATGAGCAGCGCCAGCTGCTGCCGCTCCGACAGCGGGCAGAGGCGCGTGCCGCGTGCCACGGCGCCGGTGCCCCCCGGGGCGCCGTGGGTGGCGGCGCCGGTGGCTCCGTGGGCGGCGCCGGACGCCACGGTGCCGGCGCCGCCAACGCCGCCCGAGTCTCTCTTGAGCCGCTTGCGCTCGGGACCAATCCGCTCTGCCCGGCACGAAGAGAGAGGGGCAGGAGAGCGGGGCAGGAGAGAGGGGCAGGTAAAATAACTATTAACAAAATAACATCCCTCTCTTGATGTCCTGCATGGGCGTTGTGACTGCCGACGTGGTGATTGTCGGCGTGGTGATTACCGGCGTGGTGACTGCCGGCGTGGTGACTGCTGGCGTGGTGATTGCCGGCGTGGTGACTGCCGGCGTGGTGAGTACCTGTGTCAGGCGGCTCACTGGCCGGGCTGGCGGTGAACGAGAGTCGGCGTTTGGACTTTTTGACATCTTTGGAGGCGACGCTTCTGTCCGAGCAGCGCAGCGACTTGTCCCGGTCCTGGTGAGACAAGGCGGAGTCTCAGTGAGACACACACAGAGACACACAGAGAGACACGCAGAGAGACACACAGACACACACACACAGAGACACACAGACACACACACACAGACACACACACACACAGACACACACACACACAGACACACACACACACAGTGACACACACACACACAGTGACACACACACACAGAGACACACACAGAGACACACACAGACACACACAGACACACACAGAGACACACACAGACACACACAGACACACACAGACACACACAGTCACACACACACAGAGACACACACACAGACACACAGACACACACACACACAGACACACACACAGTGACACACAGTGACACACAGACACACACACAGTGACACACAGACACACACACACACAGTGACACACAGACACACACACACACAGTGACACACAGACACACACACACACACAGACACACACAGACACACAGACACACAGACACACAGTGACACACAGACACACACACACACACAGTGACACACAGACACACACAGACACACAGTGACACACAGACACACACACACACACACAGACACACACACACACACAGTGACACACAGACACACACACACACAGTGACACACAGACACACACAGACACACAGTGACACACAGACACACACACACACAGTGACACACAGACACACACAGACACACACACACACACAGACACACACATAGACACACACAGTGACACACACAGACACACACAGACACACAGTGACACACAGACACACACACACACACAGTGACACACAGACACAGGGAGGTGTCAGTGGTGTGTGCTGGCGGCTGCCCCCTCACCTTGCGGCCCGTCGACCCCCCCGGTGCTTCTCCCCCCCCGTCCTGCGCCCCCCCCCCGCCCCCCAACGCCACCACCTTGGGCATCGCCGCTCTCCCTCTCCGCTCTCTCTTCGCCGCTCTCCTTTTGCCGCTCTCCTTTTGCTGCTCTCTTTTTGCTGCTCTCTCTTCGCTCTCCTTTTGCCGCTCTCCTTTTGCTGCTCTCTTTTTGCTGCTCTCTCTTCGCTCTCCTTTTGCTGCTCTCCTTTTGCTGCTCTCCTTTTGCCGCTCTCCTTTTGCCGCTCTCCTTTTGCTGCTCTCCTTTTGCTGCTCTCTTTTTGCTGCTCTCCCTCGGCTCTCCCTTCGCCGCTCTCCCTCTCCGCTCTCTCTTCGCCGCTCTCCCTCTGCCGCTCTCCCTTCGACGCTCTCCCTGTGATGCTACGGGGCGTTCTGCGTCGCTCGCTGCAGACTCCTGGCTCCGTGGCTCCTTGGCTCCGTGGCTCTGTAGCTCAGTGGCTCCCTGGCTCAGTAGCTCAGCGACTCTGTAGCTCTGTGGCTCAGTGGCTCCGTGGCTCCCTGGCTCAGTAGCTCAGCGACTCTGTAGCTCCGTGTCTCAGTAGCTCCGTGGCTCTGTAGCTCCGTGGCTCAGTGGCTCCGTGGCTCCCTGGCTCCGTGGCTCAATCCTCTCGCTCGGAGCCATGCCAGTGCTCAGCAGGGCACCGCCTGAGAAGAGAGGAGATGATAAAGTGGTGGTGGTGGTGGGGGAGAAGGTCGTGGAGGTGGTGGAGGTGGTGGAGGAGGTGGCGATTGAGGTAGTGGTGGAGGGGGAGGTGATGGAGGAGGTGGTGATGGAGGGGGAGGTGGTGGAGGAGGTGGTGGTAGAGGTGGTGGTGGTAGAGATGGTGGAGGAGGTGGTGGAGGAGGTGGTGATGGAGGGGGAGGTGATGGTGGAGGTGGTGGAGGTGGTGATTGAGGTAGTGGTGGAGGGAAAGGTGATGGAGGGGGAGGAGGTGGTGGAGGAGGTGGTGGTGGAGGAGGTGGTGGTAGAGGTGGTGGTGGTAGAGATGGTGGAGGGGGAGGAGGTGGTGGAGGTGGTGATGGAGGTGGTGGTGGTAGAAGTGGTGGAGGGGTAGGAGGTGGTGGTGGAGATGGGATGAGGAGATGGTTAGACACAGAGACACAGGGCTCTAGACACTGCAGTGAGTGAGTACACAGTGATGGGTAGACACAGAGGTGTGACGTCGGTGTGACGTCGGTGTGACGTCGGTGTGACGTTGGTGTGACGTCGGGGGGACGTCAGGGTTTTGGGCAGTGGAGTCACGCAACGCACCGTACGGTGCAGTGGTGATGCCGACTCCGGTTCACACCGCCCATCCCCCCTTCGCCGCGCGCTCTCAAACAAACGCTCAAACTATTTTTGATTTAGTGATAGGTTTCTACCCTTTCAACTGGTACAAAAACTGACGCCTTTATACAAGGGATCATGTTTGCAATAACCACAACACAAGCAGTCAAAATGCAAACAAAAAGAAACAACTCTGAAAATGATATGCATATCATTATCAACATCTCCTCGCCACCGTGATGCTGATGAGAGACGCAGACTCCACATAGACCTCCTGTAGACCAGGCGAGGTAGTCAACATCTCATAGCCACCGTGATGATGATGATGATGAGAGACACACAAACTCCACATAGACCTCCTGTAGACCAGGCGAGGTAGTCAACATCTCCCGCAGTCTCGCCACCAATCGTTCCTTCCCACTCTCCCTACCACTCCCTGCCACCTCTCCCCTCTCTCTTATTTCTTCATGGGAACTATAAACTTATTTTACCAGCTGTAAGGCCTCCACTGTGCTAGTGCGTAGCATGCCGCGTCAACCCACACGGTTTACCCCACACGGTTCACCCCATATTCTTGTCCAGGGAAATAGAGTTTTCAGGTCCATAGCAGCGTACAGCCGATGCAATATGGGCAACATTTGTTGTCTATTCGTTTGTGTTTCTCCCTCGTGATGGGACGTTGCAGGATGAACGTTGAGATTTCTAAGGGGCACGGGGTGACCGATACGGTCTGGATTGGTCTGTAGTAAGGCAAGGCGCTGACAAGGCGTTGACAGCTTCCAGAAGGACCCATAGCGCTCCAAACTCAAACTAGTCTTAGTGTCATCAGCTGTAAGGCCCCCCAGAGCTACACACGATAGCAGCTCAAGTGGTTCATCATTATCATCGTCCTCTGGACATTTTCAGCGGACAAGTAGTCTCAACGCACGTTTCTAGACTCATAGAGACCCATAGATTCACGAGAACAGAGACACACAGAGACCCATACTCGTAGAGACCCATACTCCTAGAGACCCATACTCATCATACTAAAGCTAAGCCATATTCTTGGTTCATATTCTTGGTTCTTTAGGTAAATTCACGTAGAGGGGAAACAATAAAATAATAAAAATATGAAACAATTAAATTCTCACGACGTTTCGGCCACAACGCACGCAGCCGTCCTCAGGTGAAGAACAGGTCTGTCGGGAAGACAGCGTCTGAATGAAACACCCCAAGCTTGGAGCGTCTATTTAAGCTGGGTTGGAGGGGGAAGAGCGCCTTGACAAAAGAATTTGCATATCGTCGTGAGAATAATGTTATTATGTAAAAATTGTATTATTTTATTATTTCCCTTCTACATGACTTTACCGAAAGAACCAAGAAGATGACTCCCTGCAGTCACGAAAGCTTTAAATCGAAATTTACAACCAATTAAACCGGATTTCTCCCAATCTCAGATGATCGGGTGTCCAAAACCACGACTGTGCCACCCTTGCTGTAAAAAACACCAACAACCGCCATTCGCCACTAAGTGGCGGTGACGTCACCACGACGCTTGTGCCAGGCCATGTGCACCTTGAAGCCACGTGAAGTGTCGAACGCCCGCTGGCAGGAGGTCACGGGGCAGACCCAGTTGCCACGGGTCGACTGACTGAGATGACCGAGATGACTGGCTGATGCACCACCTGTGCCCCCTACTGTACCAACTTGCTGTGCTTTAGCCACCCGGCGCTCCGCTCGTTGTTGTGAGCGTCGCTCCTCCGCCCTCCGTTGTTGTTGGAGGGCGACTGCCTCCAACTGCCCAGTAGCGTCCTTCCCATGCTGTACACACGCACACACAGGCTCACCTTGCCCGCCACATGCCCCTGCCACAACCCACACGCGTTGAGATTATTTGGATTATTTTGCTGCTATAAATGTCCAACTAACGAGTTACGTCCGTTGAGCCACTGCCATCTGCGATGGCTTCAGAGAACGACGCTACAGAGGCTCAGTCGGCTTTACTTGGAAAGGTAAAAGGCTTCGTTTTAATTTGCACATTTTTTCAAGCGATTTGTTTACCTTTACGATACGGGGACTCATCCTCCACTTACGAACTTCTGGAGATACGAACAAAAAAATGTCGAGTTTCCTGTTTGGACCGAGGGTCGTAAGTTCAACCACCACGCAATAGATGGCGTGGTGGTATCTACATGTGCAGGACGTGAAGATCCAGTGTCATCTGCATCTACAGAACGTGAAGAACCAGTGGCATCTACATCTACAGAACGTGAAGAACCAGTGGCATCTACATCTACAGAACGTGAAGAACCAGTGGCATCTACATCTACAGAACGTGAAGAACCAGTGGCATCTACATCTACAGAACGTGAAGAACCAGTGGCATCTACATCTACAGAACGTGAAGAACCAGTGGCATCTACATCTACAGAACGTGAAGAACCAGTGGCATCTACATCTACAGAACGTGAAGAACCAGTGGCATCTACATCTACAGAACGTGAAGAACCAGTGGCATCTACATCTACAGAACGTGAAGAACCAGTGGCATCTACATCTACAGAACGTGAAGAACCAGTGGCATCTACATCTGCAGAACGTGAAGAACCAGTGGCATCTACATCTACAGAACGTGAAGAACCAGTGGCATCTACATCTACAGAACGTGAAGAACCAATGGCATCTACATCTACAGAACGTGAAGAACCAGTGGCATCTACATCTACAGAACGTGAAGAACCAGTGGCATCTACATCTACAGAACGTGAAGAACCAGTGGCATCTACATCTGCAGAACGTGAAGAACCAGTGGCATCTACATCTACAGAACGTGAAGAACCAGTGGCATCTACATCTACAGAACGTGAAGAACCAGTGGCATCTACATCTACAGAACGTGAAGAACCAGTAGCATCTACATCTACAGAACGTGAAGAACCAGTGGCATCTACATGTGCGGAACGTGAAGAACCAGTGGCATCTACATCTGCAGAACGTGCAGAACCAGTAGCATCTACATCTACAGAACGTGAAGAACCAGTGGCATCTACATCTACAGAACGTGAAGAACCAGTAGCATCTACATCTACAGAACGTAAAGAACCAGTAGCATCTACATCTACAGAATGTGAAGAATCAGTGGCATCTACATCTGCAGAGCATAACCAGTGGCATCTACATCTGCAGAACGTGAAGAACCAGTGGCATCTACATCTGCAGAACATGAAGAACCAATGGCATCTACATCTACAGAACGTGAAGAACCAGTGGCATCTACATCTACAGAACGTGAAGAACCAGTGGCATCTACATCTACAGAACATGAAGAACCAGTGGCATCTACATCTGCAGTACGTGAAGAACCAGTGGCATCTACATCTGCAGAAATAGCTTGAAAGTATTAGTTTAGTCTGTGTCTCTATGGGTTTCTATTTGTCTATGTGGCTCTATGGGTCTCTATGTATATACATGTGTCTCTATCTCTATGGCTCTCTATGCACATCTATTTGTCTCTGTATTTATATGTGTCTATGTGTTTAGAGGGATGATGATATCAGCCACTTGCTGGAGCTGCTATCATCTGTGATGGTGGTGGTGATGGTGGTGATGGTGGTGATGATGGTGGTGATGGTGGTGATGGTGTGTGTGTGTGAGCTGCTATATTCTGTGATGGTGGTGGTGATGGTGGTAATAATGATGGTGGTGGTGATGGTGGTGATAGTGGTGGTGATGGTGGTGATGGTGGTGATGGTGATGATGGTGGTGATGGTGGTGATGGTGTGTGTGTGTGAGCTGCTATATTCTGTGATGGTGGTGGTGATAGTGGTGAAGGTGGTGATAGTGATGGTGGTGGTGATGGTGGTGATAGTGATGGTGGTGGTGATGGTGGTGATGGTGTGTGTGTGAGCTGCTATATTCTGTGATGGTGGTGTTGATGGTGGTGAAAGTGGTGGTGATGGTGGTGATGGTGTGTGTGTGTGTGAGCTGCTATATTCTGTGATGGTGGTGATAGTGATGGTGGTGATGATGATGGTGGTGATAGTGATGGTGGTGATGGTGGTGGTGTGTGTGTGTGAGCTGCTATCATCTGCGATGGGCCAGGTCGCTTCAG